TGCTTTGAATCATGCTTAGAGAAATGTTACAAAAATTACTGTCAAAACTCTTGGTTCTGTTTAAATAAAAACGTATTAAACAGTAGACATGAAAAATAACAGAGACAAACAGTATTATAGAAACACTTCAAAACTGTCAAAATACTGTTTCCTGGTTAGTGTGGGAATATTCAGAATATCTGAGTTTGGGTTTATCCAACCTTAACTAGAACAGCTGTTTAATCATACTGTTAAGTTTCAGGTATTCAAACAGAATAAAATATAATTTCAAAGGTCAAATTGTTCCTCCGTTGCATGTCTATTAATAAAAAGGAATACAAAAGAGATAGCATTGCAAAAAATCTCTGATATTTTGCCTAAAAGGTATTTGCTTAGTGTTATTATCAGACAAAAGCTAAGCTGCTGCACAGTGTGGCAGAAGTCCTGAAACAAATGGATTTGGGCATAATTAATTCCTCTGATTGGTATAATCATAGGGACAAAAATGAAGACCAGGATAACATAGAACAAGGATATTGAATGAAAAATAACATGAGGACATTCTCCAAAGATATGAAATATGATTTAGTCCAACTTGTGATGGGAAGGGGGAAATAATAATGGGCAAATAGGTTTAACATCTTTTTTCCTTCAATAGTCACTTAAAGGAAGTTTATTTAAAATGCTTAAGTAGCTGCTGTAAGCAGGATGAGATGTTAGTGATCCTCCTTGAGAAGGTGAGGAGCACAGATGAGTTCCAGGGCACTGGAGCAATCATGGTGACTATTCTTGGAAAAGAAGGAAGGGAGGTACATTGGAATTGTCACTAGTCAGTCTGATTGCATTTTCTGGAAAAATAACAAAACAGTGCTTGCCAAACACAGAAACATCTAATTAACAGCAATCAAGACAGATGTGTAAAGAATCAATTTGTTCCACCAGTGTATGTATGGCATGTAAGATGCTGAAATAACCTTTCCAGTCTAGATAGCATTGCTAAGGCTGCAGATGGAATAAATGTGCTTGGTTTGGAAGATGTAGCCAATTAATCCATTTCTAGAAACTTCAAGACAATTCTAGAAAAGAGAACAGCTGGAGAAAATCATAACAACCTTAATAAACACAAAAAGACTCCTGAAAAGAGAAAAATAACTCTTCTTCCTGTACACTGCAAAGGAACATAAAACGATCATCTTAAATTACAGAAATTACACTTGCACTAATGTTTTGAAGTCCCAAGTGACTGAACTGTTCCAGCTTTTCTTCAGTGTAATAAATTGTGTCCTCTCTCACACTGCAAGCTAGTCCTGCTCTACAATAAGTGATTTGTTTACACTAAATGCTCTCCTTTGTGGGAAGTTGATCTGGCAAAAATCATTATGTTATACCTCAAACAGTGAGTCACTGAACTTCCTCTGTAGCAGGACAAATGAGACATGGTTCACAATCAACTACAAATAATCCCTGTGGATCATGAGTTCTGATTGTTGGAAATCCTTCCAGTCAATCATTATAAAATTTCCTTCCTCTGTACAGACACTCTTTCTGAATAATAACAAGTGCAAGAAAACCAGGGTAACCATACAGTCTTGCTCCCGGTCAAAGAATATCTTCCTACAAGCACTCCACTATCTGTGGAAAAGCTTTTCTCTCTGCAATAGAGGGTAGAGAACGGCAGAAACAGGGGCAAGGTAGTAGAAACCTAAAGGTCTTGGCTTCCTTTCCACAGCATGTTCCTAAGGCAGATCTGCAAAGGTGGGTGATAGCAAGTGACATTTCAGGAGCAGAATTCACAGTGCCCAAATTCTCTGTGGGCTGAATGGGGAAGTTCCCAGATCAATGTCAGGATGGTGACCACCTGCAGGATGTCCACAGTGAGGGTAGAAGCTGCCTGAAGGTCCCTCTTTGCTCTTTAGCAAATGGTGGCTTTACAGAGTCACATAAAAATCCAGCAGCCTGTTCCCTAAGGTGCTCCAGTCCCAACTAAAGATTCCCCAGTCAGAAAAAGGGTTGCATGCCGTGTATATTTACTGTCCCATAAAGGCCTTACCTTAACAGAGGTGGAGGAGGAGTTTCTGCTGAGACAACCTAGTCAATTAGAGTACAGTAAGGTGGGGATTCAAAGCATTTCAGGAAAAACTGCAACTGTAACATGAAGTCTTCCTCCTGGGCAAGAGATCTGGGCAGCAGGGTTCCTACCTAAAGTAGGCTTTGCCTCTGCCTGCTATGGGGGATCACAGTATCCTAGTGTATGTTACACAGCCAGAGAGAATCAGCCCTGCCAAGGGATGCGCAGTTTCTAAATTCTGAGTAGCCGGTTGGCCAAAAATTAAGTACAGAGAGGTTTAATCCAGACAAGTGTTTACTGTAAAACATGTGAGTAACCCTGGGATTCACATGTACCAGGTTCCTACTGAAAATGCTAGAACCTCTGAAGCAGGCTGTGTATTCAGATGTCCTATCACTGCTAGTGAGGCTCTTTATTTTTTAAACATAATTTTAACTGAGCTTGCTATGCTATGGAGCTCTTGGTGGTTAATTTTAGGTTGTGTCCCTGTGAACAGAAATGTGCTGTTCTGATGCAGCATGTGTGCAGTGTAGATATGGAGCAATTACTGCTGTGGCCTGCTGCCATATCACCATATTATTAGCCCTGAAGAGGGAAACAATGCAGATTTATGCCTTGTTTGAGTTCTTTGGTTTTGTTATTTTTTCCTGCCTAGTTATTTTTAGTGCAAAATTATTCCAAATTATGTCAAGGACAAGAGAAGTTGAACTAAAACCATGATCGGAAATGCTGCTGTCTGTGAGGGATGTTTCTGCAGACAACAAATACCTTGCATTGCATAACCCCAAAGAAATGTCTCGAAAGAAAAATGCTAGCTCTGTTATCTCCAGCCCCCAATCCAACCTGTCTTGGCGTGAAGAAGCAGCTCCACTGGCTGTCAATTTTATCAGCTGCAGGATCAGAAGCTTTGAAGTGAAACAGCCACTTTCAGGAAAAAACACCTCTCTGTGTAAGGACAGGAGCTGGCTGACACAGTCCCTCCTCTTCCTCTGCTTTTCAAGAATACACAATATTCTTAAATCACTTACAGACTTGTGTTCTCTGCTCAAGACATTTTACATCTCCCTGGGCTATTTGTTATTTGCTTTCAGAGACAGATCCATGGTGTTTCCCAGAAATTAATTAACAAATTCACGACCTCCTTTGGGTGGCTTGGGAAACAGCAGCACGGATGAATGCTCTGCTGGTAAGGTTTTAATGTTGGACTGTCAGAGGTGCAGGTACCTGACAGCTCTTGAAGATTAATTATGGAGCACAGCTTTCTCTGTTCCCGTCTGCCCACTCCAAAGAGACAACTGTGTTTCCTTCCCTTTAATGAAAGTGTGCTGTAATAATGGCTTGCAAATATTTTATCTCTGGAAGCTATTACTAAGTTTGTTTTAAAAGCTAAGCTAACACTGAAGACATGTTTACTCTCCAAGTAGACACCCTGTATTTGAGCTGTTGCATTTCTTTTTACTATTTTCAAACCAGTGCTGTGCAGTTGCAAACACAAGTTTTTTCATCTGCTACAGAAAACATCTTAATTTGTTAATAGATTAACAAAAGGGGAATTAAGAGAGAGGTTTCAAGTGCAAAACAATGTGTTGGGAAATCACCTCGATTCCAAATTAAATTAGAAGTGTGTGATGCTGCCAGACATTGTCAAAGCCGTAATGAACTGTGAAATGCTCACAGCCCCCCTGCTCCCCTCCCACTGAGTGCCCTCCGCTGCCACTCTCCATTCTCTAGTGCCTGCAGCCTCCTGCGCAAGACATTTTACATCTCCCCGGGCTCCTCTTTCCACAGCCAGGAACGTTCTGTCTCCTGTGGGACTACGGTGGCAGCAGTCTGGGGCTGTGACACTTCGGCCTCCGCTGGCACTTTCTAATCCTTGCTATTGCACAGTAAACCTTAATCTAAAACCATCTGCAGAGACTAGGGCCAGTCTGTCTTAGTCTGCTCTTGTGAGTGGCCTCAGCCAATCGTTGCCCCAGGCTCTTATGTCAGGGATTGCTCATTTGGTGGAGGCCACCTTTGGAAGTGGCTGCTGGCAGGAGTCTGAGTCACAGACAGAGTCAAATTCAAGAGAATTTGTTCTTTTCTGAATGTGAGAGAGCAGAGGAACATGCAAGCTGGACAAGGTAAGCTATTTCTATTTTCTCAAGCCTGAAGGTATTTTTCCTTCCTTTCCTGGGGGAAGCTTGGTGCTAAAATACTTCTCTAGCAATTAGGAAATGTACGTAGTGTTTCACACATCTTGTGTTCATGGTTATCTGCATGAGAAGCAATAACACATCCTTGAGAAGAAGCAGGCAGCCTTATATCCACAGTGAGTGACACTGTTTGAATTTTGTGAAGTGATATCCCATTCCCCATCAAAAATACTGTGGTACAACTGTAGCACAGAGTGTGGGAAGGTCAGAGCCACCTCTTCTCTTCCACAACATTTACACATTCAAGGTCACGTTGAATGGGGCTTTCAGCAACTGAAACTAGTTCAGGATGTCCCTATTCACTGCAGGGTGAGTGTTGGACTTTAAAGGTCCTGACCTAAACCATTCTAAGATTCTGTGGTTCTGTATCAACCAACTATAGCCCTCTCCGTCTACCCTTCATTTGTTCCTTTCTATTTTACCCCCACTGATCCTTTTTTGCTCCATTGCTCTTGTCTACTTTGGCATTTTGGTGAAGAGAGGAAAAAGGACAGCAGATGGAAAATGGGGGTGCAGCTCCTGTCCTGCCCCTTGGAGGAGAAAGCCAGTGCAACACAGCCCTGGTTCTGTTTTCTTCCTCCACTGTGAGAGCTTAGGATCCCATCACACAATAAAATACATAAAACTCCTTTATTGTTCCAAAAAGTCATATAAGAATCTAAAGTCAGGTTTTTTGCACAACCAAAGCCAATGAGCAGTCTTCCCACTAAATTCAAAGGCAGCAGGATCAAGTCTGCAAGAATAAAATGGGAGCTCTAACATCAAAGACAGGCAAAGAAAGGGCACAGCATGAGCTCATGGGATTGTTTACTATGCAATGTGTTCTCCACATTTTTTATACCTTTTGCTTGGATCTCATTTTCCTTTGAACTCCAGGCAACGTGCATGTTTAGGCCCATTAAAATAAGTGATGTTTTTTAACAAACTACAATGCAGATTAGATCAATTCTTTAATCTCATCTTTTCCCCTTGAATACTAGAATCAGCCATTTTATGCGCAGTTGGATATAAAATTAACCCAGGCACATTAGATCTATTCCAGAATGTTCTGTATTCTAAACAATCTAATTTTGCTGGGAATGTGCCAGGGTCTCATCAATAAAGGTGAACATAGTCCAGATCTAAACAGAAAGCTGCACAGCTACTTTACTGTCAAAATATTGAGTGAGGTGGGAGCACACAACATTTTGATGGATACTAAAGAAAGGCCACAGTCACAGGCACTTTTGTCCAGACATGAATAGCATAACACAGGTCATGCTGGTAAATCTGGTTAAGCAACTTCAGAAGAAAAGTCTGCTCAAGAAATCATTTTGAAGATCTGAAAAACCCAACAACAAAACCACCACTGACAACACAAACCACTTGCAGTCACTATCTCATTTGCTATCTACCTGTGTCTGTCCCCCCCAGCCCTCTCCTATGGGCAAGTGTTTTCCTTGAGCACGTGGATAGCATATGGTAACATATCTATCTACCCTGTAAAATAAAGGTCTCAAAAGTAATAGGAAGCTTGTGAACAGGTCCTTGTGATTTTGGAAGGGAGACAGGCCTTTATGTAATGTACAGGAAGTGCTTTTAGGAGCTTTGTGACTACAACGTTTATAAATATCTGCTGTAGAAAAAACACAAGGACACAAAAGAAGCTTTGTCAGAAAAAAACAATATATTGTCACAGGGCAATTACACTATTGCACTTTGCAGAAGCTATACTCTGAGGCTGTTCGTTTATATTTTTAAGGAAAAACTTACAGCTTCCAGATCCTACTGGGCTAAACTCTTTTTTTCTAAAATTTGCCTGTGGCTGGATCCCTCCTGTTCCATTAAGATCTTCTGGTTGTCTACCTGGGCTGAACTAGCACTGTTTTCTTGTACTTCTTGGAATAAAGTTTAATCCTGGGCAGAATTGTGGCCCTGTGTCATTTCCCACACTTTGGACTTTTGGGGGCAGTTTTTTGGGGGACAGGTATTGCTTTCACAGCTCTTAACACAGCTGTAGCCTTTTCTTCTGGAAGGCCCTGACTGGCAGCCATAAGGGCTGGTTTTGATTATCTGTGAAGGTCTGTTGTGAAGATTGGTTTGAGCCCCAGCTCAGACACCTGGGGAAATTTCCTTTCCCATCACAGTGTTTAAAATGACAGCAGCTTGTTAAAGCTGGAGAAGATAAACAGAATAGCACATAATAGCAAGGTACAGTTTTCCTGAAGTCAAGCAATAAACAAAATAAACTGATTTGAACCCTTCCTCTGTTATTTCAGGATAAGCAAACTGCAGGTTGGTTTGTCTCCAGCACTAATGCCTCGGGGGCAGATTCCGAGCCCTTTGTCTCCTCCCAGGATACAAATGCCGATGCTTTAAGTCTGAACAGTGCTTCAGCCAACTCGAGGTCCTTCTCTCTTCTGTCGCCTCTACCAAGCTGTCCCTGTTTGACCATTATTCCTCTACTTCAGTGATTTCTACCCCAAGACAAAATTTTCCCAAAGGATCCTCTTAATTATGGATCCTTCTTTCTTTTTTTTTTTTTTTTTTGGTGTGTGTGTGTATTTCATGCCCTAAAGCTACAATCTGTGAAAGATCAGACAGAGCAGTCCCTCCAGGGTTGTTTTGGCTTAGTGAATTGGCTCAGGGTTTTTTTGTGTTACAGTAACTGTGTATTTCCTCCCTTTTCACATTTTTTTTTTTTCTAAACAGAAATTCTCAAAATATGAAAAGCTTAAATGTAAATCCAGTGTCTTTCAGATGCCTGCCTTGCACATAACTGTTACATCTTTTCCCTACATCCAGACTTCAGCTGTTTGCTTCCTCTTTGCAGGCTGCCATCCTTTTAGAGCTTTCTGCATGAGGTTTGCTTTCTCCTTTAGACCTCAGCCATCAGGGTTATGTCTCAAAGGCTCAGGTCAGGACTGTCTGATACAAAGCCTTTGGATGAGGTAAGTTCCCTCTTGGACACTTTGTGATCATTTCCTGGAAAAGACATTTGTTTGCCTGGCCCGTGTCTCCTGTATCAGCTGCAACTCCTTATCAGCCTTCTCTTCTCTCTGGCCCCAGGCTCCTGTCTTTTCCTCTTCTCTGGTTTACCTCTGTGCCTTCCCAGACCATGGACTTTCTATTCTCCTGCTCCAGTATTGCCCCACTGCTGCTTGGATCAGACTGGGCTCCCAAGTCCAGACTGTCTGAAATCGGTGATGGAAGTTGCTGTATGGACACCAGGTGACTTATAAAGTTAGACAGTCAAAAATGCAGGCAATTGTAACGTATATGTTCTTTGGGGAAATGACTTGAGTGGGTTTTAAGGCAGGATGTGTATAGCTGGTGCTTCAAAGTCAAATACCATATTTAAGCCTATTACAAAGATTATCAGCATTCCCTACAAATGGTAAAATACACAGATCAGACCTGTGGATTAGATACCATCTTTTTTGGAAATTGTTACATTTAAATTTAAACAAAAATTAATAGTGTATGTGGAGGTGAGGAGGAGGAGGAGAAAAAATGTATGGGCCAAGGGAGAGTAAGTTATTTTAAAAACCCTCAAATACACATGAGAGAAGACACAGCAGAAGAATAGGAGACTGCAGACTGCATAGGGCAGTGCTGTTGTACTGACAAAAATAAGTAGAAAGAATAAGGATCTTCTCATTTTCTGAGACAATAAGTCACCATGTAAAATGGCATAATGGCTCTTTTTTTTTTCTTTCTGTCTCCCTCCCTGCAAATACAGCCTGGAAGCACAGAAGAATGAGATTACCACATCTCATACATCACAATTTCTAACAGAAGTTACAATACTGTTACCACATACATTCGTGACATTTATTTTACTACAACTTTCTTCAAGGATATTGTAGAGCAAAACTCCCAAGTTTCCTAAAATTAGACACATTTTGTGTCTGTTTGCTGTCTTTGGTAGACTTAAAATTCAACCCTGATCATATTTTATGTGATTTTGTAATAACACCCACTCATTCATTGCAGAAGAGGCATTCTATTGTCCTCCTTTGACACTTTGGGATTGCAGCTGGAAGATGTGTCATTGGGACTTCCCTTTGTTTTCTCACTATGAACTAGACACTTGTGGCAGATGCTGGATTGGCAGCCTCACAGAAACAGATACTCCAGGCCACCAGCTCGCACAAGCGGTGACAGTTCAAGTGTCTGGCTTCTGTATGGCACCTGTCACTTTGCTGCTCGACCACACAGGTTAATCAGCAGCTGTCAAATGGCACTGTTCAAGCACTCCTGGGCTGGGGTGGTAACTCACCTTGTCCATGCTGTGGTAGCACAGCCAAAGCTGAGAGAAGATTTCAGTTCTTCATTTCAGTCTTTTTTTTTTTCCCCTTTTAGGGAAGGAGAGACAGTTGCACTCATTATTGCAGGTCTGTGCCCTCTAGCTACCCCTTTAGGGATGCCCTTCTGACAGTCTGAAATTGTCCTTCCTGAAAAAGAGAAACAGGATGAGAGAGAGACTGTGATAACCTATTGATAACCCCAGTCTGATGAGGAGCAGCATAGGGAGCTGGGGGGGCTTAGCCTGGAGAGAAGGGGGCTCAGGGGGAACCTTCTCGCTCTCTATAACCTGAAAGGAGGTTGTAGCCAGGTGGGGGTCAGTGTCTTCTCCCAAATAATCAGGGACAGAACAAGAAGAAATGGCCTCAAGTTGTACAGGGGAAGTTTGGACTGGATATTAGGAACAATTTCTTCACAGAAAAGGTTACCAAGCATTAGAACAGGCTGCCCAGGGAAGTGGTTGTGTCACTGTGCCTGGGGATACTTAAAAGTATCCGAGGAACATGGTTTAGTGGTGGACTTGGCAGTGCTGGGTTAACGGTTGGACTCGATGACCTCAGAGGTCTTTTCCAACCTAAACAATTCCATTACTTTCTTTTATGATTGCAGACAGCTCAGCTGCTCATGTCACTGTGATCTTTACAGTGACTACTGTCACCAGGACTCACATTTGGCACTGCTAAGCCTGCTCTGGCACCTGTGTGATGTAATGCTGTCGCTCCTGAGTGTTTGGGTGTCAGAGGCAGAAGGGTAATAGTGAAGTCCATGCTGTACCATTGTATCAGCCTATAAATGTACACAGGTGCCTGTATCCTCTGAGTCCTGTGGACTTGTGCACAGGATCTTGATTCTGTGCACGGGACTTCTGAAATATAAACACATAGGTATGTACATAGGGCACACACATTATATATGTGTGTGTGTGTATACTTGAACTTAGGAAATAATGTAATCAAGTCCTTTTTCCTGCTAGTAAAATCACATAATAATAATCACATAATAATAATAATAACAATCCACTACATAAAAGGATCAAGCTTCATCCTGAGAACTGTTAGTGTCGCTTCTCTCAAACTCCTGTGTGAACATTGTTCCAGAATATCATGGCAGTGCTCTGCAGTAATATTTCCTTTCTAATTTGCACATCCACCACCGTATTGTGTCCCTTGATTCTGAGCAGTGCTGTTTGTAAGCTTCACTCATTTCCTTTCCCTCAGATCTGCCCATGGATGTATCTACAGAGAGAGAATCCCTCCCTTCTCAGACTTTGTTTTGTGAGACTAAACTTCTTTTAGATTGCTCACACCCCAGTATGGTTCCAAGAGACTTACCTGTACCTTGTCCAACCTAGGTTGAACTCAATAATATCAGAGGTCTTTTCCAACCTAATTGATTCTGTGATTCTATTCCAAGCTGAGTTTACTTTTCTTGAGTGGCTTTGGGTTCATTTTTCAAGCATAGGTCTTACTAGTTAAATGATGACATCAGCATTTCCTTATATAATGGAAACACCTCTCCTGATAAGCTGAATAATCATATTTGTAATTTTTGTGTTAATGAATACAGCCAATTACTACTCTGATTTCTCTCCTCAGGACATATCAATAGTTTCATACAAGTAACTTCTCACCGCTGGCTTAAATCCAGGACCAGTGCAGGAGCTTGCCCTTTGAACTGTCATCTTTCGCACAAAAAGGCTTAAAAATAGTAAGAGTATAGTTGGATTAGGCCAGTATTTTATGAGTTTCTTCCCACTTCGAGACTTCCTCTTTAAGCAGCCATGTCTAGGGCTTGTCTCACTTTCGGGTATATAAAGCAATCTCCAGAAACATGAACTAAATCTAACTCTGGATTGTCCAAACTGCAGTGTTGATTTTATTAGCATGGAAAGCATTTCAACAGCAGAATGTAAAGGCAAAAATAACACATAGATGCTGCAAGAGGAATTTGTATGATGACATTTGCTTTGTCAAACTTTAATCATCAAAATCTAAGCTAGTTGTGTGGTTTTCCTCTACAACCACCAGAAGGATGCTGGCAGCTCCCCAGGGTTTTTATCACTCAGGCATGTATTTTAGGATCTGTTTCCCATCAGTGCCTGCTTCTTCCTTTCCACAGGTTGTCAAGTGAATCTGCATCAGCAGAGCAGCTGAAGCATGCAGGTAAAATCAGGTGAAATGAACCTCTCTTCACTGTTTATCTTAAAATTCAAAAGAATACTCCAGAAAACGACACTTGGATTTTTCACACATTGAGAAGAAAACGGATCACAGAGCAGCCAACTGGGATGTCAGGGAACTGTTTTAAAAGAACTAAGCTCCCTAAGTCTGGTCTTTATTGACATGTCATGAGGCAAATATACTGAAAGAAAAACATGAGATGTTTAACACATTTTTATTTTACATAAACAAGTGTTTTTTAGAATGTTCTTTGCATGAATTGCCATAATTACAAATTAAAACAAGAATAAGTTTCTGAATTCTGATTTCCCACCACAGAGCTCTGATTCTATGGTGGGTAAAATGGTGAGACAGGAAATTTCCTCTATGTTTCCATCTGCTCATATATCAGACTAATTTTGTCTTCTAGGAGCTCACTCTGAAAAAAATATGGTCTTTTCGCAGACCGGAGATTTTAAACAAAACTATTGTTCTCCCTCTTGTTTGTGACAGAAGGTAATGAAGAGAGATTAGGAGTTCATGAGTGCAGCAGGAGCTCTGGAATAATTATTAACAGGAATTTCTAAAAAGGAAAGAATTGTGATGTGAAGGGCCAAGTCATAAGGATTAATTAAATAGAAGAAGGGATGCTGACTTTCAAGTAGTCTGGCCTGGAAATAACACAGATGGAGAAGTGAAAAAGAATAGAAAACATCATGTCTGCAAAATGTTCTCTGAGTGGGTGTTTTTGGGAGAGGGCCACCTAAAGGATTCAACTTTTGCTAGGAAGAGTATGCATTATCCATGCCCAAATTTGTGAGTAATCAATTCACAGATCAACTGATGAGTTAGTTAAATGTTGTTTCCTTAGAGTAACATCCAGGTTTGCAGGTATCTTTGATAATACACTTTTGGCAACTCAGGATGTTGCTGGAGCACATTCTCCTTCTCTGTCACACAGTCCCCTCTGCACTTCCTCGTGGGCGAATGGAAGCCCAAACAACACAACAAAATATTCCATATTTAATCTTGTTGTACTGTTTTCCTCTGGACACTAAAAGCTTACACTTCTTTGCACCTTTATTGGGAAAAATAGCAATAATCTCAGTTCACTGTCATATTTAAAATGGGAACTGAAAAACAATTTACTTATCAGGACACAAATCCAACCTTCTGTTTGCCTCTCTAACTTTATTGTCTCTGAAAGCAGAACAAGAGCTGCTTTTCCTCCTTCACGTTGAGACATTGGTACCTGTTAAAGTGGAAATACACAGTCAAAATTTCCACTTGTAGCCAGTGAGTGAAACAGAAAACTCATATTCTGCCAGTTTTGTGGGAATATGCTGTGGTAAAATGAATAATCATCAATTATTTAATTTCTTAGGAGGGAAAATATAAAGCCATCAGGTACTTCTGAAGTGCTCAGTCTGTGTTAGGCTGACCTTGGTGTCTCTCTAGAAAACCTGGTGTGTATTCTTGGCAGCAGGCATCAGTTCCCCGAGGGAGAGGATATACAAGCCTGCAGGAATGTAGATAAACATCTAAGATTCTACTCTGCATAAGAACAACAACAAAATAATCAGTGAAAGCCTCCAAAGAGCTGCTAAGGGGCCCTTCTTCACAGTCGAGTACCTTACTAAAAGGAAAGCAAACTCTTCTAATTGAAAATACTTCATAATTATTAGATCCCATCACAATTCTGACTTTTTCAACAGCAAAAAAAATACTCGATGGGGTTTAGTTTTTCTGGGGTTTCGTTTTTCTGGGGACAGGGAGGGAGAAATGTGTGTCTTTTCTAGCACTAATTGTTTTGTCAGTCATTATTAACATGATAGCTTTCAGAACCAAAAATGCAGGAAACCATTGCTTTGTAAAATTTAGCAGCTTGCTGGAAATCTTATACACCTCACAGAAGCATCTACTGACTCTAGCAATACGTAGAGTTCAGTCAATATAACTGAAAGTGAGGGGGTGTGATTGTCAGGGGAAATACTATTTATTATAGAATTTTCTAAACAATTGGTCAACTCTGGCAATTCCACAGACATACAGACTGCCCCTTGGGAATGCTATTTATGAGCTCAAAAGCAGCTGAACAGCACTCTCAAAAAGGCTGCCAGTTTCAAGAAAATTAATTACAATCTTACATTGTCAGAAAATGAAGAGAGAAGAGGCTTTGTGCTGAGCTTAAGGCATGAAGTGTGTTTGCACTCCTTTGTCTTGGCCTCTCTGTCGAAGCCTGGGGTATTGATGAGAACACGGCTGCTCATGGCAGTGTCGGCTCAGACAAATCAATGCAGGAAAATGTAAACATACAGGTAACTTCACATCCCTTTTTCTAAAAGGTTCCCAAGAGCCTTACTAGAGAGAATACTGTACCTTCAGGTCTTGGAGCCTTCAAGGTGTGGCTTTGCTGTACTTCCATAAAAAAAAACAACCCACAACAAACCGACAAAAAAACACCCCAGACAATCACACTCAAAACAGCTCCCTGAGTGCAAGAAGTATGTACAGACTTTCTGCACCTAATCCACCTTTTTGGTAATAGACTAATTTTATTTGTAATTTTAAACATTCCAGTTGAACACAGTTTAATTGCAGGTCCACACTGCCCTAAAGACTACCAATTCCCTGTTTTAAAAGTTTCCTGATGGATTTAGAAGCTGAAATTACTGAGGAAAACCAATTAGATGAGCACTAGAAGTAGCACAGGAGTGAGAGAGCCAGAAAGAGATGTTCAGTGTCAAAGAGTGACACGTTCCAATTAGTGTGTCAGTGGCTCAGCTGCTGTTGGCACCATACTTACAGCACAGAGAGCCTGTAGGGGTATCAGAAATGCTCCTTTGAACAGAAAACACTTCCAGTTGATTGCCATCCTCTTACCTGTGGCACCACCCTAATATATAACTTGTGTGCCTTTACCCTGATACAACTATTTATGATGATGTTTCAAATGCTTTCGTAAAACTCACTACCTTTTGGGCAGACTT